TAGTGTTGACCTACATGTTTACATCTTGTCCACGTTTCTATGTTTTTTTTTTTTGATAAATTTAGTTGGAAATATAATGGCCACACTATTTTGATTTCACAGGTTCTTCAAAGTGCTGGCCTAGGAAGCAGAAACAATGCTTCTACTAAAATACATGACTTCGACTAAATAGGTGATTATGCACTTCTTTAGTCTATTGTCATATGCTTATTCATAATGCTAAATAGTTATGCTTTATATTTCATGCTATTGTGTTAATATATGTCTCTATTTTAGTAATAAATTTATATGCCTACAAATAAAAGAAAGATGGACAACGCCTAAATTGAGCAGATCAGGAACGTTCATATCTTGGTGGAAAAAATAGTGAGAAATGCCTTAGATAGCGTATATCACAAAGAGAGAAGTGGTACATAATTCATTTTCCATAAGACTCTTAAACGTCGTAAGATTTGATGCTGCAGAATAACATTTTCTAGCACAAGCAAATACTTTTATCTCAGCTATCATGGTTCCTTACTTCGACAGGGTACAAATAGCGAAATTTGATATTTTTAGATACTTCCACCTGGTGCAACACCAAGTGCAGTTCCTGTACAGAAGACTTCATTTGCACATACATTATCCCTCCTATTTTGTTAAAATGTATGGAATTAACACAATAATTTAGGTGAATAGACTGTAAAGTATGTTACAATCAAGAATTTAAAGAGAATTTCTAAAAAATATTTCTTTTAATAATTGTGATGTACGGATGTGTTACTTTCTACTTTTTTCCATTCTGATAATTTGTATTACGCACATGTGCTAAAGCATAAAGAAATTAGACAATTTATGTACTTGATGGGATTGGAAAACTCAATAGTTGGCCCTATAAGTAGCTTCTTACTTTCTTTCATGTGCACTTCTCTATATATATATAAAATATAGTTTCAAGATCGTGCTTATGCAAAACAACGAAAACTATACGTTAAACATTCAATTTTTTATTTAAGCATTACATATATGAATAGGGATTAAGGCGTGTTTTATAGCAGCATCACTATTCGCTATTACAAGTAATTCATTTATCAATATTGAATTTCAATTGCAACATTTCTGACAAAGGTACAAAATGGTATCAGATGATCAAACTAAGATTGCAACATCAAAATAAAAATAGGTAAGGAATTATCAATCCATTGATATTTTATTTCCTAAAATAGATAATAAATTATAGAATAGAATAAGTAGGATTATATTTTGGAAAATAATTGTGAGCTAACCGTGCCTTTTGCTCTTGCACAGGTAAAAATATTACAAAAAATTTCGGCACTTCTTATAGACTTGGCATCCTGCTCCTACTTAAGCACGTCCGGTAGTGCAACAGACGTGAATTACATGCAAGCATGTGCTTGTATATGTTCATCCTTGCATTTCAATTGGCGATTATATAATTATTTTGCCTTTTGTTTCATATATGTTGCCATGAGTATTCATGTATGACCTTTTTCTGAGCTTATTGTAATTTATACTGGTATTTTCTCTCTAACTAGAGCTCTAAATTAATGTTTACATAAACTGAAACATAAAGTGATGTTGGGCCCGTGCCTATGGCGTGGGAATCCCTATCTATACTATATTATAGAAAAGCAGCTATCTACGTGTCTCTTACTCCTACACCCACCGCATAGTCTTCTCATTCTTATCGCCTTTGCTCTTCTCTCTTCGGTATTTCTTGCTGATTTTCTGTTTTACTATGGATTCTATCTCTCTCTATGTATCTCTTTTTGTGTTGAGTCTAAGTTTCACTTTACTTTAATGTCAATTCAGTCAAATTGTTTGGTTTATCTGCTATTACATATAAGTAATTGTGTATTTTATTCAATTTCAGAGTTAGCCATGAAAAGTATTATTTAACGACAAAAGTCAAGAAAGGAACAAGATTGGTAGCTCAATGGACATGTCTCTCTAGCTAATTTGAAGGAGGCTTTTCCCTTGCACTATTGAGGTTTAAGAATTCATCAGATTCTCCAATTTCAAGGGTTCTGCTGCTTGAGTTTTGCAGGTTCCATTCTTAGTGTAAGATATATGTGCTGCTAATTTCTTTTTACTATTATTTTCATATAGTTGGTGTTTTTTCTACAACCATTGACCGCAACCGACCAGCTGTTTCTTTCTTTTCATGACGTAATTTTTGATAAAAATCTTCAATGAATTGAATTATCTATTTGATTTCATGCATCTCTGGTCTTTTCCATCCTTCGGAGGTAAGGGAGAAAATATAGAATTGCCAACGAATATTTGACACTGTTAGCACTTGTAGTTTTTTACACCTCTATCATGTTTTCTATTTTCACCACATAGTGCATGAGAGATAGTTGCAGAGCGAGATTTGAGGATTGTGGTTGTAACTATTTGGATTTTATGTCTTTGTTTTCTTCTTCACGAATGAAAGAAACTGAATTTTCAAGAATCAATTTAAAGTGGGGACTGGAAATTTAAATCCAATGTAAAGAATTTCAGATTCAAATATATTCTGGTCCTTTTTGTTCTTGGAGGAGAAGCTCCTTGCAGTTAAGCTTTATATAATTGTGTCTGATTTGCTAAATTTTCATGAATTTCTACAATCACGTGGTGAAATGGCAGTCTATTGTTCGTTTAGGTGTGATGGAAATAAAAAGAAACCTGCAATTTGAAAGACCGACAATTAAAATTTGTGGTAGAACAATAACAGCATTGCATGGCATTGAGTTTCTAAGAAAACACCTGGTAGAAGACCTTTTGATTTGATGGTTCCCTTTATTCGCAACGAAAGAAATAGGCTAGGGAAAAGAAAAAGATGAGGAAAATTCTATTCAATTAGGTGGATCCTCTGTAATTTTGTTGAATAAAAAAAAATGACAGATTGGAGCTTCTCACTTTCTTTATGAAAAGAATTGTGAGGTTGATGACTAAGATGTAGTTTTCTTGTGCGCACCGAATTGGAGAATTAGATAAGATTGTATTAGTGAACTAGAGAAGCAACATAGACATTAACATTTTTTTGATGCATTCAGAATTGATGGAAGATAGTGGAGATTTCAAAAGGAAGGTACAAGAAATAACCTCAAGATTCAAAAACGGAGTGACTAATATCAAGAAAGCAAATATTTCATAATAATCTCTACTCTGAATGTGTGGTGTGGTGTTTCATAGAAGGTAGGAAAAATACTTTCGCACATGAGAAAGAGAGCTTAAATCTGGAGATATTGGAGGTAAGCTCCTTTACTGTACGACAAGTTATTTTTTACACCATGTAATCCAAATCTTGGGCCAATTTGATGCATGTCTCTATTTTAGTATATTGAATCAAGATCAATTTTCTTTTTGTCTTTTTTTTGTTGTTGCATCGTAATACTAATAAGTTGTTTAACTTTGTCTTACTTTGCAGGTGGTATTTCCTCTAATAATGTCAGCACTCTAGATGAGATATATCATGTATGTGAAAAGGTAAAGAAATGCACTTAAATGCTTGCTCAGCTAAAATATAATTTATTTTAGGCTTCTCATTGTTGACAAAGCTAATTTTATACTTATAATTTTTCAGCTGAAGCTGCCTTGACTGACATTTCTATACTATGAGAAAAACCTACACTCGGCAGTTAGGTGATGTTTCTATAATATTAGAAAATACCTTTATCAGTGTCGGCAATACATAAGGTGAATTAAAATTCTATGTGAGTAGAAATCTAAGTTTCACTAACGTATTGTAGACTTAGAGCTAAAATTTATTCATCAAATATACAAAATAAATATGAAATTTAACAGCGAGGAGCATACACTTCTCGAAGTTTCGGCAGTTGTCCTAATGATTCAAGGGGTGGTGATTGTAAATGGTTTTTCTCCTCCAAGTGTCTTTTCCATGGCAGGAGGAGAAATTTTCAGCCTTTCATTTAAGTTAAAAATAATGCAGTAAGATTGGTAGGAAGAAGAAAAATAAATGGGAACTTACCGAGTTTGTAGGTTCTTGAAAGGTCAAATTAAATATATGACCTATAAATTCATTGGTTCCAAGCCACCTTTAAATGAGTAAACTTTTGAATTAGTGTAATCATTGGTAGATGACAACTGAGCCGTGTAATATGATAAAAGATTGCTTACTTATAGGTAACTGAGTGTAGTTAACTTAGGTATGTTTGGTGTCAATGATCTAGAAATACCAGCGTTATTTAAATTCCTTCATCTCAAAAAAGAATCAAGTGCACAATAATATTGTATCAGAAAAGTAGTTAAATAATTGATGTTATTCCTGGATCGAATAGAAAAGGTAAACTTACAAGGAGATATTCATATGTTCATGTTGTAAGAGCATATAACTGTACTTCACGACGTGTAACTTCAATGTGAAATCCCAGGAACTCAACTTAGGAAACATTTTTGGAAAGATGGTAGAGCTTGCAATAGACAAGCTAAGATATGCTTAGATCGGAAGTGATGAAACAACCTCCATGTCATTGGATTGTTCTGCAAAGTCGAAAGTTTACTTGGCCTACTTGATATTTACAGTAACTAGAAATGTACTTTGAAAACTATTTGGTCACTTACTTTCTTCTACCTTGAAAACTTTAAAATCCTACTCTTTGTTCCTTACTCATCACTTTTGACCTGTCTTACTGCTACCTTCAGTATCTACTAGCTTTCTTCACTTCTTTGGCATGCATGATCATTTCTATTACACTTTTTGACCTTTGTTAGTTTAAGTAGTCTCTTCAATAAATGATCTCTCTTTGTTAAACAAACACAATTGTAACTTCATGTGCAAAAATATTGGAAAAGAGATGCGATTTAAAGATGAAATCTGCAATAAAGTTTTAAGCGTACCGCTCCATTTTAAATTTTTTAGCTGTCTCATCTAAGACATCTAATTTTTTTATCTTATTATAAAATCTACAAGAACTATATTACTGAGACAAGTCTGTACTTAGTCTACTTTCATATGAACATTGATAAATGGTCATTACTTTGTGATTGTGCAGGTGTTTTTTTTTTCAAGGACAATTAAGAAGAAGACTACTTCGCTTGGGAGATTCATCACTTTTTGCCAGAATGTAAATAAAGTATAAAGTGTATATATATGAGTGAATATTTTGTTCAAAACTGTATGTCAATTAGCATGATGATGTTGGGCCCGCGCTGGTAGGTTTCGACCTGTATGCTTAAGGTCATAAAATTTCAAATCAGGGTCATATTCGTCATTTCTTATGCCACCAAACATCCATGATCCACCGTTGTTCTCCTCTTTTTGTTTTCCATCGTAGTTCGTTTCTTTCGTAGCACTGACGAGACCCGTCGCCTTCCGGTTGTCTTCCTCACCTAAGATCATTAATGGTCCACAGAGAACCAACCTCGGTCATAACTTTCAATCCACACTCAACCTTTCAGAAGAAAACCCAACAAAATTGCCCAAATTTCATCCATCAAAACCCTAACTCTACAATATATACAAGGTTCTGTCTCTACTCCATTTATTTCTATGATTCTAAGGTAAATCTCACGTTTTGTTTATGATTTTTTTTCCAGATTGCATACGCTTTCTTCTGCTTTTGATTTTTTAGCTTCGTCTTTCTCTATCTCTGTCTGAAACGAATATTTATTCTTTTTAATCTTTCTGCTTGTTTCAATACTATTCTGGATTTGGAGGAAAACTGTGGAAGGCTTATTTGGGTATTGAATTTTTCTGTTGCAACTATAGAATGTGGTAATAATTTCTGTCTTAAGTGATAATGAGAAAATTGCGAGAATTCAACCAAATCATATGAATTGAATTTGTTGACTAGGGTTCTTGTTGAAGAAAACTAGAGAGAGAGAAGAGAAGCTCATTTTGTATTCCTGAAAAAAAGGAATCCGTCGGTTTTTGTTTCTAGAGAGTTCCTCTCTCTTTATTTACATTGGGCCTATTATTTACATTGGGCCAAAGTACCCGGAAAAAATAGAACTACTCTAACCCAAAAATGCATTACAACATAAATATCTGGATATCTAGGTTGGGCCATCCTTCTTATCTGGGCATTGTGTGTATCAGCAAGTATCCCAACACCCCCCTCAAGTTGGAGGGTGGGAGAACCCCCAACTTGGGTAAGATAGCATGATGTAGAGCTCCAGTAAGGGGCTTGGTGAATATGTCAGCCAACTGTGCAGATGTGGAAACATGTGCAAGGAGATGAGCCCTTTAGTAAGCTTGGTCTGAATGAAATGACAATCCACCTCAATGTGTTTGGTGCACTCGTGAAAAACAAGGTTCTTGGCTATGTGGATCGCAGCTTGATTATCACAAAATACAGGGACATTAGTAGTAGTAGGAATGCCAAAATCAGACAACAGCCGAACCACCCAAGAAAGTTCAGCAACAACCTTTGAAATGGCACGATATTCAGCTTCAGTGGAAGAAAGGGAGACGACAGGTTGTTTCTTAGCCTTCCATCCAACAAGACAACCTCCCAAGAAGATGCAAAAACCAGTAACAGATCTGCAGGTATCAGGGCAAGCAGCCCAATCACTATTGCAATAAGCAGTCAAAGTAAAACCAGGAGAATTACTCAAGAAGACTCCAAAATCAGCAGTGCCTTTAAGATATCTGAGAAGATGAAGAGCAGCCTGCATGTGCGGAAGCCTAGGAGTTTGAAGAAACTGACTTTAGTGTTGGACTGCAAAGCATAAGTCAGGCCTTGTGTGTGTCAAGAAGTTGAGCTTCCCAACTAAACTTCTATAAGATTCTGGTGAAGGGAGAAGGTCACGATAGTCAGCCTTCAACTTGGTTGACAGGTCCAAAGGGAAGACCACTGGAGACACCCGGTCACAATCATAGGCATGTAGCAAATCTCTAATAAACTTCCTTTGATGAAGCAGAAGACCAGAAGAGGAGTAAGAGACCTCTATCCCCAGGAAATAGTTGAGAACACCCAAATCTTTAATTTTAAACTGAGAGTCCAAAAAGGCTTTCAAGGAAGATATCTCATTCACATCATTACCAGTGAGAATAATGTCATCTACATATACAACAATCAATACAATAGAAGATCCACACTTTTTAACAAAAAGGAAATAATCATTCATTGAGTGGGAATAGCCTCTGGAACATAAAGCATGAGATAATTTGGCATACCATTGCCTAGAAGCCTGTCTGAGCCCATATAAGGACTTCTGTAATTTGCACACTAAAGAGGAAGAAGGCAGAGAAGCAGAACTAGTAACTAAACCAGGGGGAAGTTTCATGTACACTTCCTCATCAAGGTCACCATGCAAAAATGCATTATTGACATCCAATTGAAACATCGACCAATTCTGTTTGACAGCTACTGCAACAAGACATTTAACTGTAGAAAATTTAATGACAGGAGAAAAGGTCTCATTAAAATCAATCCCTTCAACTTGTGTATCACCTCTAACAACCAACCTAGCCTTATACCTCTCCACTGAGCCATCTGCTCTATATTTAACTTTGTAAACCCATTTGCAACCAATTGGTTTCTTACCTTGAGGCAACTCAACAATAGACCAAGTGTAATTAGCCTCAAGTGCCTCAAATTCTTTCTTTATGGCCTCTTGCCATTCTAGAATAGAGGCAGCTTGGTTGTAAGATGAAGGTTCAGTAATGGTATTATCAGCTAGGGAATGAAAACAAGTAGATAAAGAAGCACTAGGGCCACACAATGAAGGGGAAAGTTACAAACATAAGGCTGAAGATGAGCAAGTAGATGGTGACCCCTAGAGGATCTTCTAAGTTGTGGAACAGGAGGAGGAACAATAGTTGAAGAAGTGGAAGGAAGAGGAGAGGGTGGAGGAGGAGAAGAATCAGTCAATACAGGGGAAGAAGACTCAGGAACAGGTGTTGGAGATGAGGGTAGTGGAAAAGATGAAGATTCTTCTGAAATAGGAAAAAAATTAGGAAGAGGAGGAGAAATAGAGTTAGCACAAGCAAAAGGAATGACAGATTCATGAAAAACAACATCCCTGGAGATCAAGGTTAGTTTAGTGGTCAAGTTGTATAGTTTGTAGCCTTTCTTACCTAAAGAGTAACCAATAGAAACACAAGGATTAGCCTTAGGTTGGAACTTGTCTCTATTACATTTGGGGATAGTGTGATAGCAAAGTCAACCAAATGACCTGAGATGTTCATATGTAAGAGGAAGTTCATATAGTAGTTCAAAAGGTGATTTATTGTTTAAAAGTTTGGAAGGAAATCTGTTGATAAGATATGTGGCTGTCAAAACACAGTCACCCCAGAACTTTAAAGGTAATTTGGATTGAAAAGGTAAAGCTCTTGAGGTTTCCAGTAAATATCTATGCTTCCTCTCCATCACACCATTTTGTTGTGGTGTGTGAGGGCATGGGGTTTGATGTATGATCCCATGGTCAAGGAAGAATTGAGTAGCTATGTGACTGGAACCCAATTCATAAGCATTGTCACTTTTAAAAGCTTTTATGGTAATATTGAATTGTGTCTTGACCATGGCCACAAAAGCTTTTAGTAAAGAAAAAGCATTTCTCTTGGACCCCATAAGGTGAGTCCAAGTAGCTCTAGTGAAATCATCAACTAAAGTAAGAAAATACTTGAAACCATTATAGGTTGGACTATGATAGGGCCCCAAGTATCTATATGAACAAGTTGGAAGGGAGAGGAAGTTTTAATAGAGCTTTTTGGGAATGAGAGTCTAGATTGCCTAGCTAAGGGGCAAACATAACAAACAAAAGGCTGGATAGTAGAAAACTTGCATGGAATAACAGAAATATCTTTCATTCTAACAAAAGGAATATGTCCTAATCTGTTATGCCATAAAATCTCCATTTTATTAACAGCAGAATGATTTGTACAATGAGAATCAGAAGCTGCAGAAAGTAATGGAGAATGGTATTTACAAATGATAGAAGAAGAGTTATCAGAAGTGGAAGTAGACAAGGCAAAAACAGGTGAACACTCATCTGATCCAAGCTTGTAAAGCCTAACTTCCACCTTACCAACTTCCACTGGGCTCTTCAGTGAAGGGCCTTGGAGAAGACAACAACGTTTGGCGAAAAGTAGGTCACAGTCTAAATAAGACACAAGCTGGTAAACAGAGATGAGATTGTAGTGAAAACTAGGAATGTACAAGACATGATGAAGAACAAAAGATAGAAAATGTATTGAACCAGTGCAAGTTACTTTAACTTTATAACCATTTGGAAGAGTGACTAGGTAGGGCACAACAAGAGGTTTAATATCAAAGAGGAGATCTTTGTTAGAGGTCATGTGATTAGTGGCCCCAGAATCTATAATCCAACTGTTATCATTGACCCTAGTTAACATACAAGTACCATAACCAATTCCTACTGATTCAGAAGGAGGAATTATACCAGCAAAATTTGTAGAAGCCATGAGATTGGATTGAGGGCCTTGTTCTGATACATGACTCTGTTGCAGCAGGAGCATCAGTTGTGTATATTGCTCTTTTGTAAGACCAGGAGTCAAAGAGGCAGATTCAGAAGAATGCTCAGATGGAGAATTGGAATCAGGATCTGGAACCTATTGAACCTCAACATTCGCAACTACTTTCTTCCCTTTAGTAAATTTGAAGTTGGAACGAAAGCATGAAGCTTGTAGCATTTTTCAATAATGTGATCAGGCTTTTTGCAGTATCTACATAGCATATTAGATTTATTTGGATCAAAATTAATTTTCTGGAAGAACTGACGTGGAGGATTGGCTGGTTTGCTGGTAGGGTTATTGAAATTTGCATTGAAAGAGGCTGCCTGAGCCTGAAACTGAAATGAAGGACTGATTTGCCTTTGCCTTTCATCTTGGAGAAGAATATTGTAGGCACTATCAAGAGAAGGTAGAGGATGCATCATGAGCAGGTTGCTCCTCACACCAACATATACATCATTGAGTCCCATAAGGAACTTATGCACCTTATCCTCCTCCTTTTCTTTTTGAGGATCAGACTTGACAGGACAAGAGCATCTATTTGCATGATTAGTACACACATATCCTAACTCATACCACAATTTCTTTAACTTGTTAAAATATGAGGCTATATCTAAGGACCCTTGGAAAGTTGAAGCAAGTTCCCTTTTCAACTCAAACACCTTAGTCCCATCGACTGAACCATAGCTTTTATTAAGTTGAGACCAAATACTCTTTGCAGTCTCTGAATACTGGACGCTCTCAGCAATATCAGGTGAAAGTGAACTGGTTAACCAAGAAATAACCATATTATTGCACCTATTCCATTGTTGAAGTTGAGGTGAATCCTCAGCAGGTTTAGGGCAACTTCCATCGACAAAAGCTAATTTGTTTCTAGCTGAGAGGGTCACGATCATATTTCTACGCCATCCCCCAAATCCACTACCAGTAAAAGGGACAGTAACAAGAGATACCCCAGGAATATCAGATGAAAGTAGAAGTAGAGGGTTAGTGGGGTCAGGAATGAACACTGATGCATTAGCGGGTGTAGTACTTGTCTCTACCATGACGAACAACAGAAACAGCCACAAAGAGAGTACGATCCAAATTACTGAACAGAAGAATTACACATGCAATCAA